AAAGATCAGCCTGAGGGCGGACTTTTGTTTACTTCATCAGCTGTACATACTTAGATATTGGGTTAGATTCCGTTTCATATTTTGTCGGTTGATTTTTGGTTTTAACTCTTTGATTTTTGGTATTATTTATTATTGTAGTGCAAAAAACTAATTATTTTGGTGTTTAAGTGACATAAACTACTACCAGATTTATGGTCACTCTCGGTTACGCATAAAAAAATGGAAAAATTGAAAAAGTACACGTTGTGTAAGTGATTTAACCTAAAAGTGCCCATACATTTTTTACTCATCGTGATACAACGATGTGTTTTTTAAGACTTTAACAATTCATCAATAAAGCTTAAGTAGAGTGTGTTTTTGGTGCTATGCCTCATCTTTGTTGTGTTCCTGGTGGAAAGGATAGTTATACTAGGCAGCCTAAAGTGTCCGGAAGAGCAAGAAAAGTGGGGAGTTATAAATCAAGAGAATTCTATTGAAAATATCTTTAATAAATTTAAAATAATATTCTCCCATAATGGTATTAATGAAAACTGGACAATTATGTTTATTTTATTCATATTGTGGAATCTCCACTCCAAGTGTTGTTGGTTCAGCTTAGATAGATTCAAACACGTAAGTAGGTATTAAGGCTGATTCATGGTACACCGGGCCGTACCCGAGCCGGGCACGTTCCGTAAAGTAGACACGGTAGTAGAAGCTCGGCCCGTGCTCGGCTTAGCATGAATGCATAGGTATAAATACCATTTGACAATGTTTGGCCGTGCCTTCACCGTCGCACGGCCCCGGCCCGTCAGCCTTTATGATCTAGGGAAAAATAAAGAATATGTGTATTAAAGATCATGAAAAAGATTATTATTTTGAGTTCAAATTTTAAAAAAGATTTTTGTAAAGACAAGACTGATACAGTTTAAAAGAAGAATGTGTTTTTGTTTGATAATATATAATGTATGTCAAGCATAACATATATTTGTTCAGTAATTTTAATGAATAGTGTTGATTATTTATAATACCAAATTAATATCAAATATTTAAGTGATGGCTGAATACAATATGAATAAAATAAAAATAAAATTGGTATATTTGCATGCCAATACAAAATTAAGTTTTAAGAATAAAGGTGTTACTAAAAATACTAAGAAATTCATATTTTTTTGTTTTGAATTAGTCTAATGTCATTTACATTTTAATGTAAGAATTATACCGTATCATCAGAAAAAAATCGGCGTCTAGTTGGTTTGGAAATGAACATCGATGACATTCCCCTAAATAACTGTACACATAAAATAATTAACTAGAATTTTACAATCTTGGAAAATTTGATATTCTTGAACCTTGTTTCTAAATATTCTAAATTTTTGATTTTCTTGGGGATTTAGGTTCGGGGAAAACACTGATTAAGTTTTCATTTGGTTTTCAATATTTTTATTTGGTTTAAAAAAAACGTTTCTGGCTAACATTATAGCCTTTATCAGTGTTGTGTCATATGAAGAAAAATAGTGTCAATATAATCCAAAAATCACATATAAAATATTCACACCACGCACATAATGTATGTTTACTGCGTACCCATAGTCAATGTAGATAATTTTTAGTGTTAAAGTAATAATTTTAAAAATATGTGGTCATCTTTTGATAAGTTTATATTAGTTTATTAATTGCAGTTAACATTATGAGGTGTGAATTATATTGCATATGTAATTTTTTGGACTATATTCGACACTATTTTCCCATATGACACAACAACACTGGATGAAGGCTATAGTTAGCTGAAAAAGGTATTTTTTAAAAACCAAATAAAAATAATGAAACCTAAATGAAAAACTTTCTAAATCAGCGTTTTTCCTGAACCTAAAAATCCCAAGAAAATCAAAAAATTTTAGAATAATTTTGTTATACTCGAAATGCCAACTGATCTTCATTTCATAGCCATCGCTGGCCTTTTTTAGATAATATTGTATTATTTGTAAACGCATAATTTTTCGAACATTGATACTTGCAAAATATACATATAAAAATTTTGTGAATGCAAATAATAATACATCACTATTAGCAGATATTGAATGTTTTTGTTAAATTAGATCGATTTTCAAACCCCAAAATATAAAATATATTTACATTTTACCCATTATCTTATGTACCTATACATTATTTGTATATTGTAAAACATTTGCTGCATTTGTATGGTTCATAGTTTATTTGCCAAAGTATTTATTACTACAAATAGGTATATATGTTGTAATTATTAACTGTATATTATGTATATTTAATGTAAACTATATCATTTTTAAAATACAAACCAAAAATCTGAGGAATAATTATGTTTTCCATGTATTCTACAACATATTTATTAATCCGTTATATCTAACTAGCCTGACGTATTAAATCTCGCCCGTAGGCTGATCTTTTAATAGAAGGCACTGTTAGAACAATCGCCTTTCGTTTTCGTCATCATGACAACCAAGATGACAACATCATGACAATTCGTCATGTTTGTTAATTTTTCTTTTGGTGATTTAGCTTTTTTTCTAAACTCTCCATTTTATTGACTTATGAATATGGATAGGGAACAAATTCCTTTGTTCCATATAGGTATTTATATTTTGTTACTTATAATTTTAGGTTATACTAATTGTTATTTTATTTGCTGCAGGAGCCAGTATCATCTATTTTTTATATGTATTGGTGCCCCCTTTCTCTCTGATAGATATGTTAAAGACACCCGATAAAATAAAAGTAAGTAGTTATATTTATCATCTTATTAAGAAAAAGTAGAAGTAGTAGTGTCAAAAAAATTTCGAACCTCTCTTAACATAACAAATTAATACAATTAATTTTTTTCATTTTTTGGGTAGGTAGTATATAGCTGGTTTACAGTAACCAGAAACTTTATTAATACACCTATTTTACTTTTGTTTTAGGATTAAAACTGGACTTGATATGGTTCAGGATCATGATTCTCGTAAAGTCTTCTTTGCTTGGATATTCACTTTGTTATTACAATTAGGCAGTTTTTTCGAAAATGAGATTTTTAATGCCCTTTAAAAAAATTGGCCGATCGTTTCCTGCAACAGTCAGTTCTTCTGCATTTAAAATTGGCAGATGGGTGGAATAAACACTGATATTTTTTGTTATTATATTATAAAAAGTTTATTTATTTTTATGTATAAATAAATATGTTTATAAAACAGTACAATTTTTGCTTTTTTTATAATTTCCCTTAGTAGTATTCTTTCGTTCTGAAAGAAACTGCAAATTTTCACTTACACTGATTTATTCCCTACACCACGTTCCCTTTACGTGGTATAGGGAATAAATCAGTTTAAGTGAAAATTTTCAGTTTCAGAATGAAAGAATACTACTATAATGGCTAATTTCAATTTTCCGCCAGCCAGAATGTGCGATAATGTTTAACGATACGTTTTATACCTATTTCTTTCTTTTTCATATGAAGCACACATAATAAAGAAAGATAGCAATAAAGGCGTATGTCCTGCCATGGTCCTGCTAATTGGTTTCAAAATTGTTATTCTGAGTTGCGCTACGGGAACGCGGTCCTTTACCATGGGATTTGTCAGTCTCTTTTTATTTGTTTGTCTATGGTGAAAAACCATTAATTTTTAATTGAAGATCTTTGGTGGAAAATAGATTTGATGAGTGTCTTTCCTGGCCGGTTAAAAATATCCAAATAGTATTTTTAATCATAACTCAGTTTTTTTAGTGGAACGAGGGTAGCTCATTAGCATATTTGGAAATATATATAAACATCTATAAGATATATTTTATATTGTGATATTAAAATTCTTATAAAACGTAGGTAAAACAATTAAATGAACCGTGCACAATTAAAAGGCGCTCATTTTATAAAGCAGTTAGTTCGTATAACAGTTCTATAAAGAATGTATGAAACTCTTATAAAATTGTTTTATACAGCTTTATGCAATTACTATAAAATGTTTTTTTTAATGCATTATTATAGCAGTTAAAAAGTATTTTATTTTGCAAAAAAACAATATTAAAACCATTTTTTCAAATGTTATGAATTAAAACTATTTTGAGAAAATGCATTCTTCATAAAAAATTTTGCTTGTTGTAAAATGGTTAAACGCGTTTATACTTTTCCAAATTTCCATACATAGTTTTAGAAAAAAATAAAAAAAACATGAAAATATGGTCCTATAAAAATCAAAAGCCGTTTGCTAATATTAATTCATATATATTCATCATAGTTATGTGATAAATACTTCGCATTTTCGCTCTCTTCTACTTACTTACTAGATTGCCATAGCGATTCACTCCTAGGCATGTGATCGCCGACCCAAGGTTGCGCTTGCCAGTGTGGTATAATAGAAAATATAGTAACTACAATATTACAAGTGGAGTAGCTGCTTAAACACCATTTTCAATTTTCTAGTGCAAGCCTTTTTTTAAATAAATCTATAAAACTATGAATTTGGTACCCTATATAACTAAATAACTTTGCAGAGAAATATCACATCTACAAATAATTTTTTATGACAAACACGACATTGTTTTTAAAGAAGCAATCACCTTCAAAATGTTTTTGTTCTTGTATTCATTGACATCCTGCGGATTAAAAAATGTACTACATCCACACAGTTTACCTAAATACCAGGTGTTTTCAAAAGTGGCTCACAACTTTTCTAATTTTTCAGATAAAAAAACAGGATTTGATATGTGAGCATACAACATAAATGAGGATTGATTCAATTGGTTTCGTTCACTGTCTGTTTCACCGGAACTTTTGTTTTAATACAATAGCATTAATATAATAGCATTTATTTTGCAACAGTTTTTGATGTATTTCCCAAAGAAATGCAAATACGTCTAAACTAACGATATTTGATTGAGAAAAAATTCCGTTTCTGTATTCGTATTTATGTATTTTTCTCTTTATGCATTTCTCTTTATATTTCACGATAGAAAATTTTGATATCTCATTCATACTCGATTACCCAAATTTAACGAAACGTTTTCCTTACCTTGGGCTTGATTTCCTTCGTTTTCTGGCTCGATATCCGGCGGATACACTTCCCTCACCATTCGAATCGATCTTTTCATGATGCCTGAAAAAAGAAAAATATACAGTCATCAATAACCCCTTTTACATAATCAAGAGCTTTTCGATATTCGCTGTGTTGCAAATGTACAGGGTGGCTCAAATTCGACGCTTTTAAATGGAAACACCCTTTTCTATAGGAGATAGAAGATATTCTATAGAAGACGAAAACTAATATCGGTGTCTGGAGCTCAATTTTCATCAAAAACATGATGGTGAAAACTGCACATCAATATCTGTTATCATTTCGGAGTTACGGGGTGTTTTTCAAAAATGTGCATTTTTAACAAATCGCTGTAACTTTTTTGCTATGGAAAATTTTGTATTTCTATGAAAACATTTCCAAAGCACCTTTTTACGTAGAATTTAATTGTTTTAGTATAATTTATTTAAAATTAATAATTTAAGAGTTATCAACAGAAAAATTGATTTTTTATTTGGGACACCCTCTATATTTTTAATTAACCGAAAAGAATTTAAAATTACCTTTCCAAAAATATAGCACACTTGATATTTTGTTATAATCCCCTTCGAAATACAGAATTTTTAAAAGTTCGCCACTTTCAACTAGTAAGCTTTGGACCCCTTATTGATGATATGCCCTTAATGGAACTCGAAAACATATTTTTCCAGCAAGACGACGCACCGCCTCTGAACGCTGAAGTTATCAACAAATTTTTGCAGCCAATTTCAAGAATAATTGAATAGCTAACCAAGATCCCAGCCGTTGGCCGTCGAGGCCGCCTGACTTAGTGCCCATGGATCTAATCCTACGGATATATTTGCGGAAGAATAAATGTTCTGTATTCTTCCGTATAATCTAGACAAGAATTAGAAATACTTAGCAGTTATGAGAGGGTATCTTTCACCCCTACTGAGTTAATGAATTCCGCGAGAAATGTTCACAAACTGCCCCGTCTGTCCATAACAGAAGACGGTCGCGTTCGATATGCCTGTAGCAAAATCTCATGTCTTGGTTTGCTATTTATTTTTATTGTTATTAGATATAGTATAAATGTGTTGATGTTGGTTAAATATATTTTAAATTGTTATAAAATTCTGCATCTCTCATAGCAAATCTTATTTTCGTTTTAATTGATGCTCACAGCTAGAATTTTTTTTTCATTACAGCCGGTGCCGTTCAAAGCCTACTTATCTAAAGCGGGCAAATTTTTATATACTCTATATCTCGAAGAGGAATCGAGCAAAATATCAAGTGTGTTATATTTTTGGAAAGGTAATTTTAAATTATTTTCAATAAATTAAAAATATACAGGGTGTCCAATATAAAAAATTAAATTTTCTGTTGATAATTCTTAAATTATTAATTTTAAAAAAAATATACTTAAACCATTAAATTCTACGTAAAAAGGTGCTTTGGAAATGTTTGCATAAAAATACAAAATTTTCCATAGCAAAAAAGTTACAACGATTTGTTAAAAATGCATATTTTTGAAAAACACCCCGTAACTCGGAAACGGTAACAGATATCGATATGCGGTTTTCACCATCATGTTTTTGACAAAAGTTGAGTTCCAGACACCGATATTAGTTTTTGTCTATCTCGTATAGAAAAGGGTGTTTCCATTTAAAAGCGTCAAATTTGACCCACCCTGTACAGTTACGCGTTTTCTATTAAAATTTACCGGAACATTCAATTATAAAAATTTAAACGTTTATTTGTTGAGATAAATTGGCCATTAGAATAGTTTTTGTCGTTGTTTATTAAATTAACATATAACTATATTATTATATTTTTTTTTGAAAAGCTTGTAAGAAGAATTAATTTCCTGACAAATAGACAGCGTATACATTGTGATTCACGGCCATGGCACGTTAGACGTTTATGAAGAACAGCTCCATCTGTCTAAATTATTTTCAGCATTACAGTGTTGCCGCTTCAAACTAAAAGTGGTAGTAGTGGGTATTTTTGTTATTTTAAATGGTACACCCGGTATATTCCCCATACAGCATATTCCCTATACAGCATATCAAATCACATTTACGATGTGTTTACATTATTAGATGTAGACACAGGGTGACACAATTCCCCCGATGTAATTATGCAACGTTTACACATTGTAGTTCAACACGTATGCACAAAGGTTAAACGTCCGCTTCACAATGTAGCCACAGTATAGCATTTATGTACACATAAAGTAAGGGATACACAGTGTGCCGTAGGATACAGAGTGCTTGTGTATTACGTTTAAACTATGTTTACACATTGCAGTTGTGTCTACTGCGTGTATACGTATGTATTTTGCTTCGTATATACATCTTGTGCTAGATAAAACTACTTCTTATGAACGAATTTAGGAAATAATACAAGTTTTGATGCCTAACTCTTCGTTCTTTTTAAGAAATATTTATTCAATGATACCAATTATATCTTTTTAGAACGAAAATTAGGAATGCAAAACTTTGTATTTTCCAAAAGTATCTCGATCGTAAGTTCAAGAGAAGCAGCCTTAAAATTGTTCCATTTGTTTTGTATTAAATGTACTATTTTTCTTCCATAAAATGGATTAAGTGGTTAAAAAATAAAATTCTTATATTTCTTTATATCATGGAACGCAATAGCGCAAATAACACAATAATAATAATTATATTTACACTGCAGAAACCAGAAGTAAGAAAACACTGTAAAAGAACAGAATTTGTATCAAAATGTATTAAAAATATAAGTACCTAGTATAACAACATACTAAAATGGTAAACACTGGTATATCGCCACGATTTGATGGACCTCGTTTCATTTTCTTCTCCTCTTTTCCCTCCAAGTAGTTGGTTTATTAGCATACTCATTCATCGAGCACTCTGTTGGACTTTGTTGTATTTTATTTCCAGATTAACAATCTCACCCTTAAATTTTATATGAAACTGATTATTGAATATTAAACATATCTGTATATCGATCCATCAATAACTTACCGAATATCAGTGTCAGAAGTTCTTTGAAGTGTTTAAATCTTTCTTTCTCTGGTCCATTTAGATTTTCATTATTTCCAAGTTAAAAAAAATTATATTGCAGAGCTAACTCAGCTAACCTCTTTATCATTATACGAGAATATTTGGAATTTTCATTCATTGGAGTCAAAATTTGGTAATTGGGTATCGAATAAGGGAAGAGTCGCTGCTATAATATTAATAATACTCTTAGGAAGGTGTAACAAGGTAATTAAAAACTTGTACTTACCTTAAAATCTCTTTTAAACTACACACAAACAGAACATTTATATAGAGCTTCCGAATGATAAAACAATAATGGCTGCTAGCACATACCACTCCTAGAAAGGAGAAAGGAAAGGGACACATAAGATACACTTGGTCGGTGTGTCTACGCTGACGCTATCCGCGCATGTGCACACCTTCATTTCATGCTAGAATGTAGACACAACAGTACACTATTACAAAGTGTCTATATAGATATTTATATTATGTGTATACGTCATATTTTTACAAGGTGTGTACTATAGGCACAACCAAACACCAGTACACCTCATCACTGAGTGCGCCGAGACGACAACCATTCGTGCCATGAATTTTGGTACGACTGATATTGGAGATGGAGAACTACCCTCTATAAAACCGTCCCAGATACTGGCTTTTGTCAAAGCCCTGGAACTGTATGATGAGTTATGATTCAAGAAAGGGGGACACAATGGATCTGTAAGGTCGAAGTGATTAACCCCCCTCCCACTCATTCTAATTCTAATTCTACTATAGGCACAACTATGATACGAAGTATCACACATATACATATGACTTATACAATGTATGTCTCATATACCGACGTCAGATTTCATCATTTTAATAATTATTTGTTACGTTACAAAAAACTCTTTAGAATCTTGCATACGGTACTTGCATAGACCGTGCATACGGTATACAACTAGTAAACACTGTATCACACAATTCTGTCAATATAAACCTGCGTGTATCTCATATGATATGTTAGAACTAGGTGAACACTTAGGTTTACTTTAACATATGTTGTTTCTCATGTGTCTCCCTTGTAGAAACGTAATTTCATTTGGATGTGCTATATGGGTTATTACATTTTTCGAAACTACTTTTAATAACAATAATTTCTAATAGTTTTTGAGATAAAAAATAAAACAAGTGTAAAATTAACAAAAACATGATCTTGAATAAGCACTGATTAAATCATAAATTCAGCATATTGAAAGCTAAAATTTTGATATCAAACAGGGCAGTCAGAAAAAATAATTATTTCCGATTGTTATAAGATCGTTCAAATTATTATTTTATATTCGAGCGTATGTGTATTTTAAAAAAAATAGAAACACAAATAAAATTGCGTTTTAACGATATTATATCATGTTCTTATACTTAAACCTTCTGATTTTTTCAGTAAAGCCATTTAAATGATAATAAATCTATTATGAGAGTTTATGAGAGTTTATGTGTTAAATTTCTAAAACTGTCATGGTAACGAAATTCTTGAAATGAAACTATAATAATAGAATTTTAATTTATAAATAGCTCTACTATCTACTTAAGAAACCAGAAGGTTTAGGTATAGGAACATGATATATCCTTGAAAAGCAATTTTATTAGTCTTTTGATTTTTTAAATAATATACACATATGGTTAAATTTAAAATAACAAAGATTTCAGCAATTTTATAACAAAGGGAAATAAATAATATTTTTGTTCTCCCTGTGTATTATCCAATCGGTTTATCTAGATAGATTGAATATATCGACTTTCGTTAACTTATAACCCAAATTTCAACTTTATGTCAATTTTACACATGTTTTATTTTTTATCTAAAAAAATATTACTGTAATGCTGAAAGTATTTTAGAAAGATGGAGCAGGTGCCTTTATGTAAAAATCCAAATTTTCAAAAAAAATCTATCGCTGGTTATCCATAAACGTCTAACATGCCATCGCCCTGATTGATTTTTTCAAGATCAATACTTATCTTACAAGAAACAAGTTCTATAAGCATCCGTGTTTAATCCTAGTGAATCTGTCG